GCTTGGTAGATAGTTGCTAAGGTCGTTTGATCCTTCCTTTCATCAAGACTATCCAGAGACTCAGTTGATTTGATTGCGTCCCACACCCCTTGAGCACGCAAATAGACCTTCATCTTCATAGCCCATGCTGAATAGTTGGTTCTCGATAACGTCAGGTATTGGAGTGATACCAGACCTTCCTTTGTTGCAGACTTCGACGACTCTCCTCTCTCTCCAGTGTTGTTATTATTTCTCGGCATGATCTTTGACATGTAACCACGCTCTGATACCAATTGTTAGAAACACTCATGCAAGAAAGAGACAATACTCAGAAAAAAAATAAACAAAACCAACTTCCTTATCTTCTTCAACTTGTTACACGGTTCATATGTAGATAGAAAAAAAAAACTAAATAACTGCTAATAACATACAATAACTTCCCAGCAACAACGGCTAATAACTTCCCTCGTTATTAGCCACAAATACTAAAACTGTAATACAAGATTAAACAAACTAACAATTAATATGAGAGTAAGAACTCGAACACAAGGTCAAGGTTTGTGGCAGCTCCTTGAAGAAAATCGGGAGGAATTAGAGAGAAATTTCCATTTTGATTTTATTAAGAATTAAAATAAAGTAATTAATACGAGAGTAAGGACTCGAACACAAGGTCAAGACTTATGGGAGCGTCTTAAAGAAGGTCTGTGAGAGCTCCTTTAAGAAAAATTTGAGGGATTGGAGAGAACGTTTCGAGCATTAAAAACCATTTTGATTTTATTAAAATTTAAAATAAAACAATTAATATTAGAGTAAAAACTAAATACAACGGCCAAGCTTGTTGGAACCTTGAAACAAAATCTAAGTGTGAAGACGCGTGGAAGTTTAACTAATTTGAATCTAATTCAAATTTTAAATATTTTTATTTAATGTCTCTAATATACATTAATTATTTTTATATTTATGGTATAAATATAATAAATATTTATTTTATTTTAATTAAATTGAATCTTTTAGTATTATTAAAGCTAGTAAGAGAAATTATAGATCTAGAACGACGCAAAATGAATTAATCAATTTTCATTCATTGACTATAGGTTACTGTACTATAGATGAAGAGTTGCACTCTTATACACTATAAGACAACAATGGACTTACAGATTATAAGGACACATAATTAATTAATTAAACTTTTTAATTAATCAATTCCATTAATTGATTCACGTGACTCCACTAACGTCGTTTTTTCGGGGGCCTACAGCCATTATGTGGCATAGGGGTTACATCCCGTATGAAACTTAAGAGTATACCGCTTCTACGAATAGCTCTTAACGCTGCATCTCTTCCGAGACCAAGACCCTTTATCATGACTTCTGCTCGTTGCATACCTTGATCTGCTACTGCCCGAATAGCATTTCCTGCTGCGGTTTGAGCAACAAATGGTGTCCCTCTTCTTGGACCTTTGAATCCACAAGTACCAGCGGAGGACCAAGAAATTACCCGCAAATGGTGTCCCTCTTCTTGGACCTTTGAATCCACAAGTACCAGCGGAGGACCAAGAAATTACCCGACCCCGTAGTCCCTCTTCTTGGACCTTTGAATCCACAAGTACCAGCGGAGGACCAAGAAATTACCCGACCCCGTACATCTGTAACAGTCACCTTTGAATCCACAAGTACCAGCGGAGGACCAAGAAATTACCCGACCCCGTACATCTGTAACAGTCACAATTGTATTGTTGAAAACCAGCGGAGGACCAAGAAATTACCCGACCCCGTACATCTGTAACAGTCACAATTGTATTGTTGAAACTTAGCGGAGGACCAAGAAATTACCCGACCCCGTACATCTGTAACAGTCACAATTGTATTGTTGAAACTTGCTTGAACATGAATAACGCCCTTTGGTATTTTACGCGTACTTTTACGTGAGCTAATACGTTCATTTCTACGTGAACCATAGACCAAGAGTTGCACTTTTATACATGGTAGGACAAATTATGTCCATTGATATACTCATTACAAATAAGTCAATCATTCACGAGCTGTCATAATTACAGCTGAGTCAAAAGTCTATTTTACCCTTGTAATTACATATTTCACCTTAAGTACCACTGATTGAACAATTTGTTTATGATATCGGGCCAATGAGTGAGTGGGGTCCATTGTTCAAGTCCCGAAATCAGCACTTAAGAGAACAACTCATCTACTTTTGTGAAAAAGAGTGAATTTCATTTTGTGATATTATGTTTCTAACTCTCTATTTCGCCAAGTCCTCAAAATGGTAGACATATTGAATCGTTTACAATGTCATTCTCACTTATGCAAATAAAAAGACAAACCCTCACATGCAGGAGTTCATAACTCACTCATGATTTAGATCGAGTTGTATATTGATCATCATGTGAAGTAATCATCTTTTCAATTAACAGATTTATAAGAAGAGATAAAATATTTCTTGGTTCAATATTATATGATACCTTCACTCACATGTCTCCACGTACACGATTTAGATTAAATTATTTGTAACAATTACAAGGTGGGTTGTATCAATAATGTTACAAGGATAAGATACCCAACCCTTCCATATACTGTAGACCCTTCAGGTTATTGCTTGAACATAACCCTCTTGTATATTAACCACGATCAAGATTACATTAATAACCTTGGATTTTCATATCATAGATAATATTAAATTGTGAATAAAATAATAAAATTATTATTAAAAACTAATATCATTAATTACAAGATTTTATGGCATAAACTGCAAAAGATAGAGTTCTTGCTCTCATATTTATTGGTTTCTTTAAATTTTGAATAAAATCAAAATGTTTCCTAATGCTTTCTCTATATGAATGAAATGTTCATTCCCTCTAGCATCAAGAGTATTTAGTGACTTCAGCGTAGGGCAATCTGGTAAGTGGTTTTACCATTGAAACGTCACTAGGCTTGGTTGAATGACTTGTGTGATGTATGAATGACAAATACCTTGTGGCCTATTTATGTGTCATATTTTTATGATGCTATGGTGTGTTATATATGATATGTGATGATTATCTTATGTTATGAACTACGTCATGATATGAATTTTATATGATGCATTTACTTCAAGTATGTCACGCCATGTATGTTATGATAGCATGTTCACGTGCGACATTGATGAACCATGTAGATAGATATGTCTGGTACACATATGCATGTCTCATAAGAACTTTATGTCATGAAAGTAATTTGCATAATGACTATGTACCATGATTTAAAACTATGAAGGTTCATGCATGTTGTGTGTCACGAACATTTGGATACTTCCTCAATATGATTAGTACGGATGTGATACATTATGATATGATGTGCGTTATTTTCCCTCTATAACTTCTGCATTGCGAGCCTGCACTAGTTGTACGTATATGAGCACGTATGGTGGGTTCATATGTGCGTGCGTGGACCATGTGTAGAGAAGTACTACACATCCAACTCTGCACGGACTTAAAAATATCATGTGATTGCATTTGTTGGTCCTAACCGTGAAACTACTTATGAGTATTTAAAATGTTTACTATTTTTCCAAGTAAAAGTACGACTCCCATGTACAGATGACGAGGTCAGTTGAGGAGGACATGGAAACAAAGTCACGATAGTTAGATTTCGGCATTTTAGTGAATTTTTATGTTAGGACAGATCAATAGTATCACAACAATACTAAGAAGAGAATAGGTTGTGACCCTCACGTGTAGAGAGACACGGTGACACCACTTCCAATCGGCTACACAAGGGTCAAAACAAGACAAGTGCTATAATGTGATCGAGGAAGACGATATATCGTCCAATACATCACATAAAGTGTGAATTGAAGCCAAGATGATATATGAACATGATAGAGGCAACAAGTAGATAAGAGTGTCAAAGGTAGGTTTGGTAAGGGCTAGGTAGGGGCCTGAGCCTTAACCTTGAAAATCGGGGTTTTGGAAGGAGTTTAGACACACGATTCTTGAGTTAAATCCATCTATATTAAATATAAATGCCTGCCAAATTTGTGTCATAGTGTGGGTGAGCATAGCAACACAAGTGTCTCAAGCAACTTTATTTGAAATGGATTTTTCAAGGACAGTGTCGGACGATATGGGTGTGCTGACATTACATCCTCATCCATGTGTCAGAGGTTGGAATATGTATCCGCTATCCTGTATGGGATTCGTAAATGACTTAGCATGGACACGGGAGGGTCCACAGCTCAATATAACCCACATAGATGGATTTTGGGAGGTCCTAGTGATATGATTGACACATGGATCATTCTCGATAGACATGTCTGAACAAGCTATGATAATCGATGACATCCCAGGACTTGGGATGACATCGTGATATGAGGGCCATGTTGTTGGAAACTAAAATGACAAGATGTGATATGACGTAGCACACAAGAGATCTTGACCTAGAGTAGGGATCAGGTCGAGACAAACAACTTGACCTAGTGTAGATGTAAGTTGGTTAAGATTTTAGACGATTATTAAATATGCACGCACGAGTGACATTTATAACCAAACAAGCTTAGATTTTGTCTGAGTTGTGTTTGGTTAGTGAAGGAGAACCTCGCTAAAGGTCTATTAAAGCCATAAAACTGAGTGAAAAACGTAAATAAGGTTTAAGTTCTTTTAAAGCTTGCCATAAATGTGTCAAGATCATGATGTCATACAGTTGAAAATATACGAGCGTGACAAATAACATCTTATTTTTTCCATTTCCAACTTATTTTATTCTTATGAGGTTATTGTTATGTTTGAAATGAATTTACGAATATTTAAGTTCACGACAACGTTTAAGTAAATTGTTTAAAAATAAATTTTCACACCATAAGGGTATTTTTGGCAATTTGATGTTAAAGTTATAACTTTGAAGGAAGGACCCACCCACGACTATAGGCGGACGCGTGGCATAAATCCAATGCAACACTACCATTGTTTCTGTACAAGCTGACCGCACAGAACAATTTCTTGTTGTGCTGTCGAAGTCAAAACTCGAGGACCTTAAACATGGATGAAACCTTTAAAGCCCTTTCCGGCCCGTCATAGGGAGAGAGGAGAGAGAGAGGAGAGAGAGAGAGAGAGAGAAGGGAGAGAGAGTGGGAGAGAGAGAGAGAGACCTGCGTTAGGGTTTTCTGGAAATCCCAGAAATTTTGATAATAAGGTCAGTTGAGCGCGTTATCCACAGATATATACTTCTTTTTTTTTTATGTCTGTTTGATTTGTTATTTTGAAGCTTTAATCGCCAAGAAGAAATTGAATCAGGGAAAAAAAACGAATGATGAAATCGGTGAGATCGATTTGGTGTTTTGCTATTGTGTGTGAGAAAGAGGTGTGCCTCTTCTTGTTATCATGTGCAGGGAGCGAGTGCGAGAGATTTGGGGAGAGTGAGCGTGGGTCTTAGAGCGAGCGAGCGAGGAAGAGGAGGAGGAGAGAGATATACTTTCACTTTTAGGGTGATTTCTCTGCGTTTACTGCGCCATTCATCATGGATCGGAAGCTAGTGGTCAGTATTTTCTTCTTTTCCTATTCGCTACGTGATTTTTTAGTTGTTTCTTCTATCAAGTAATCGGATTTCCCCCAATAGGTTTTTGATTAGGTGTAGGTTAGTTCCTGTTTTCCTCATTAGGTTTCAATTCGTGTTATTTATTTATTTTATGAGATTTAGGTTCTTGGTATTCCATGGGACATCGATACAGAGGCGCTGAGAGAATACATGAGCAAATTTGGGGAGTTGGAAGATTGTATCGTCATGAAGGTTTGCCTTTTACATTCTTCTGGTGTTACATTCATACTATTCATTCCTTCTTATGGTGTTCAAGAAAAAATTATTTTTCCTTGAACCCAGTGTTTTATAAAAGAGCGGTTGTGCACTCGAGCAAAGTCCCCTCCGGGTTTAAGCCCAAGGCACAACATATTAACTATTTATTTTTTGTAAATAACTTTTTCTATACATGAAAGTAAATATTATTATGACTAATAGGATGATGAATTGTTTAAGAAATTAGATATTAGAGTTTGGGGATGAAAAACCAACGTTTTTATGAATATTTTTAGTTTCTTCCTAGTACATTACTGAAAAGAAAAGTAGGACTTCAAGCATCAAAGTGCCCACCTCTAGCTTTGAGGTGTGCACCGCATCTCAAGTTGGCCTTATTAAGGATACCTCACCTTTTTGAAGCGACGTGCCCACTGATGGCCTAAGGCTAATTGTAAGAAATTTGTCTAACTATTAGTTAGGCCTTGTTCTCTTGAATGTAAACCCTTTTATATATGGCTAGTTTTGATTCTGGTGGCTTCTCTTGTTGGGCTATGGTTTTGGATGGGCCCACACACACACACACACACACACACACACACACATATATATATATATATATATATATATATATATATATATATATATATTTGATGTTTAAATAATGGAAGTTTCTTTCTTGATGAAATATAATTTTTTTTTTCTGTTTTTTTTTCCTGATTGAACATATGTAGATTGTTTATGTGACTAATTTTGTATCGTTACATCTTTTTTTTATCTCGAAGTCCTTTTATCTTTATAGTCATGACTTTTTTCTATGCCAGGAGAGGTCAACTGGTCGTTCTCGTGGGTTTGGATATGTGACATTTGCAACTGACGAAGATGCTAAGGTAGGAATGTGTTCAATATTTTTCTCTTTTTGCTGACTTGATGTTTCCTGATGCCTAACATCTCTTTTTTGTTGCAGAATGCACTGTCAAGTGAACACTTTCTTGGCAACAGAATGATGGAAGTCAAAATTGCCACACCTAAGGTTAGTCTCGCTCTCTCTCTCTCTCTGCCCTTTACTTATTTGCACCCCCTTACGCACATTTTCCTTCTCCAGAGGGGTCTTCGTTTTTTTATTATATTTTTTAATAAATAAATCATAAGAAGTGCGAGTTCTTTGTTTTGATGTGCATGCATACAACTGAATTGGAGACTGACTTCATATTTTTTGTCGACAGGAGGAGATGAGAGCTCCTCCAAAGAGAGTCACTAGAATCTTTGTAGCAAGGATCTCACAATCTGTGACTGAGGCTGCCTTCCGCAGGTAATTTGGTGTGATTTTGTGCTCTTTCTTCTTCTTCTTCTTTTTATATTTCACCTTTTGAGTGAAGATTGTCAGTGACTATATGAAAATGAAAGTTTTCAGTTACTAATATAGAAAAAGGGAGGTTCAGTATATTTGAAACATATGTTTTGAATTGAAAACCACCTCCTGGAAATGTTTAAATTGTTTATTTCTGGAACTGAAATGGAAGAATCTCATAGTAGGGATGAACGGTTAATTTTAAGGGGGATAAAAAATCAAATTTCCGGCCCATTCTTAAGCATATTTACTTCATCTTTCTGTCATTCCATACTTGAATTCTTGGGAACATGGACATTTTAGCTAGGGTAATATTTTCTATCCATATCATGTTGAATGTTCCAACGATCTCACATTTGTTGTACATGTGTTGGATACTTGTTAGCACAATTGATATTTATTAAACATTAGTTGAAGATAGTAAATACTAGTCTAACCTTTGGTAGATACATTTGAACATTTGTTAAATATATTAATGGTAGAAGTGTTAATTAAAATAAATATTAACACTGGACAAAATAATATATTTTGGGAGTAAAATACGTCAATTCTTTTTATAAGCATGCAAATATATAGGCTTGGTGACTTTAGATTTCTGTAGGTATAAAAACTGTATATATCTAGAACAATTTATATTTTCAATTAGTGTGTCCTTCGTGTTGTGTCTATGTACTGACTTTTAGAAAATAACGTTTTTTCATATCTGTTAAACTATTGAGATTTGTTAAAATATACATTTTTCAAATACATAGGATTGGCGACTTTAGATTTCTGTAGGTATAAAAACTATTTATATTTAGAACAATTTATATTCTTAATTAGTGTGTCCTTCGTATTGTCTCTATGGTCTACAATTTTAGAAAATAACGTTCCATCATACCTTTTTAAAGTATACAGATTTATTAAAATACACATTTTTCCAAATATATATCATTTTTATGCCAGAAGGAAATTCAAAGTCAATGAGTATATGCATTGATATGCTTAAAAAAATTGTTTGATATATTCCACTCTCAAAAAACTTCTCTCTGGGGCCCTTCAGTTTGAAATGGGGATACTGGCAGGGACAAATTTTTAAAAATTTAATTAGGGGATCGATTGGGCATGGATTTCCTACTTAAATATTTCCCCAAATTATTATAGTTGTATTATGTCCTTAAATGCAACTTTCTGGGAAAGCCATCATCCTGATGGGATCTTGGAGAGGAGTTTTAGTATCCATCAGACAGCATCTGGCCATGTAGAATCAACTAAGACATTAGTCAAGCATTTTGTAGCATAGTTGCAATGTTTGTCTTCAGAAATGGATACATGCTTTTATTTATGATTTGACGACCCTTTTTCTAGTATGGTTTTCAATTCAGGATAAATATGAACTTTACGGTGTTCTAATGTTTGTTGCAGTCATTTTGAGAAATATGGAGAGATAACAGATCTTTACATGCCAAAGGTACGGTTTCGTCTACACCAAAGTTGGAAATTAGTTCTGTGGTTCTCCTACCAACTGTGATGTATAAAAGTACATCAGAAAGGGGATTTTTATTCTTATTTTTACTTGTCAGGTGTCCATGTACTATGCAAATTGGGAAACATACATTTTATATATTGATTTATGACCACATATGGTTCACCCATGCTCATGTGCAATCTACAATGTATTACTTGATGAATTATTCAGGACCAGGGATCCAAAATCCATCGCGGAATAGGTTTCATCACCTTTGCAAGTTCAGGTTGGATTATATTTTTATATTGATATGTGATTGTAGAGTGCAAGTTGTCAATTTTAGTTTGTTTATTCAATTGCTGAAAATGTACCATCCACACTGGGATCCTTTTAATTTGTCTATTGAGTAGTTGAGTTTTCTGATACTGTTCAAATGGCATGATTATTATTATTATTATATTGAACCAAGCTTCGAACAGGAATAAGTAAAAGAATATAATGGACATACAAAAAGAGTCAAACTAATAGAAGGGACTCCAATCTAACAAAATAAAACCTGAAGGATAATTGCAGAAGTCCTCATGTACCAAAGCCTACAGATAAACTTAAAACCTTACAAGAGAGTGAGAAACCAAACCTTCTGTATTTACATCTGCTCCTTAGCTCCTAGCATTTATGTCTTGCCTTGTTTCTTGAATTTAGTCTGAAAGGAAGTGTAGTGAAAATGGCCAATTGATATAAACAGTGGTTAAATTACAGTTACGAATGGTAGTTTAGTTTTCCTTGCCTTTGTTTTCTCTCTTTTTTTCACTGAGCTCATGAAGATAAACATCTCAAAGAAATGCCATCTCATAGAAATTCACGTTCTTTTCTTGGTTGGTTGACCCTGGTTGAAGATTCTTGATGTCATCTAGAGGTTGTCTTCTCTTGTTCTTAGGGCACAATGGTATGCCCTTTATAATGGGTGGTGGAGGATCTGGACCATATCCTTTGAATGTCCACCTTTAGAACTTGTGATTTGGAAAATTCTCCCAGCTGTTTGGATGATTTATTTATTATTAATAAGAAACTGATATTTGATTGAGAAATATTTAAGAATCTACAAGGGGATTGAGTGATTTTGATTGATCCAGTTATCATGAAGGACGGAGGGAGTTTGTTTTACATAATGATTTTGTTCAATGAAGCATAACAGACTTGACGGGTATTGGACACTCCAATGCTTGTAAGAAACTAGGTAGGAACTTGTTAGCTCACATGCAATAAACATTAGTTGTACTTGTACAAATTGACTACAAGTTGGGGGAAGTTGTTTGGCATGCATTGAACATTTGTTAACCATAATGAATAGCACATATTAACACATGTCATAAACAATAAATTTTGAGGGTGGAATCGCATATAAATACAAATCTAAATTTTAACAACTTCAAATTTCTCTCATATAGTAATGATATATACTTTTAAGACTCTAAATTTCACTAAATGTATCCTTGGACTTTTTTGAAAGATAATGTAGCACCATGTTTTTGGCAAGTTTTCTCTCTTTTTTTTTTTGGATTTACTTTTGAACTTTTAGATAGAGAGTATAAACAGTTGTTTTAACCGATTGAGAGTTCTTGGGATAAAGTTGGGACGTACCCACTTTTATAGTTCATTTTTTGAGTCTTTTTGACTAAATATTGTTGTAATATTTATGCCATTAATTCTTGGATCCTTTTCTTGTAATTTTTTGTTTTTTTTTGTTTTTGTTTTTTTTTATGATCTCCTTTTGGTCGGACTTCATCATGCTTGTTCATGAGGGCTTTTTTATTTTTTATTTTTCCCTTAGTGTACCTTGGCTTGATATTGCCACTCTTTCCTTCCAATTTTGTTTTCTTGACAATACGCATTGTATGGTTTCACATTTATGTAAAATTAAAGTGCCTTTTCATGGTTGCCTTTTGTTCAACGTGAAGGCATTAAATGTTGTAATTTTTATCTTGCAGAATCTGTGGAAAGTTTGATGGCTGAAACTCATGAATTAGGAGGTTCTACTGTGGTTGTTGATAGAGCAACCCCCAAGGCAAGATTTTGCAATTGCTACTTAACACAATATATACCTAATTTTTTAGTTACGTATTAAATTTATATGTCTAATAAAAGTTTGCTATATTTCCAGGATGATGATTTCAGGCCCATTGGGAAAATGCCGCAAGGGGGTGGGGGTGGTGGTGGGGGTGGATATGGCGCATACAATGCTTATATTTCTGCAGCAACAAGATATGCAGCACTTGGTGCTCCTACCTTATACGACCATCCAGGCCCAGTTTATGGGAGTATGTATTTCTGTCAGTGCCTTTGTTCATGTGATGCTGGCCTGGGTAAATATTGTTATGATGATTTACCGTGTTGTGGAGCAGGAAGGGAATTTCGAGGGATGGGAAAAAAGATTTTTGTTGGTAGGCTCCCACAAGAAGCATCTGCTGATGATCTCCGCCAGTACTTTGGTAGATTTGGCCGTATATTGGATGTCTATGTTCCCAAGGTAAAAACTAAATTTAGTTAATGCTGCTGCTTTTGTGAGAGTGGCTGATTTGAGAGATTTGAGATAGGCCTTAAGTTATCGTTATTATTGACTAATTGTCTCGACCCAATTTTTGAACTTCCCGGAGCACGGATTGTGACGTGGGCTGACTCGACGGGGTTAAAATACAGTAGATCTTTTCGTGTTTTAAAAACAAGAGACTTGGAAAAGTTTAGAACCTTTATTTACAATTTTAAAATATGGTTTGTAAGGTCGGATACACAAGGAAACAAAATTCAAAATGATAGACAAAAGTAGAAATAAAATGGTGGAGGCTCTTGACCCTAGGTTTAGATCTCTGTGGCACTTGCTCCAAATTTGCCCGCCCACGACCAACATCAAGTTGTCACTTGAAAAACATGTAAAAACTAGATTGAGTATAAATCTCAGTAGGCTCTTAATTGTGTCTATGGTGGACGCTAAGATATTATACTCTATAACCTGACAAAATGCTTAACATGGTTTTTGGTCTAAGGACTTTGGTCCTAAGTCATGGGCCTTAAGTCATAGTGCTTGGTCAATCTGGTGCCTAGCCTTTGCTTATGTACTTGTATGATCCCTTGTCCTTGGACGAGTTTAAGGATAGTCGATCTCATTGGGCTGTCCACTTCCACTCCATGCACAATGCTTAACACTAGTCCGGGTCCTCAAGCACTCCCCCTGGAAGATCTACTTGGTTGTGAACAACATGAACTCAATCATAATATCTATGTCGGGATTTGGATCAGGATTTGAAATCCGTATTTGATCATGTTGCTTCGACATTTCTCTGCGTACCTTGTGACATAGTCTGGGTTCTAACATCTTGCGTAGCAGGCCATCCTGCAAGAAATTTGGGCCATGCATCCCACCTAGGTGGGGAAGCATGCAATTATGATGCACTTGTATCAGGAGGTCTAGGGTAAATTTGGGCATAAGATGGGCTTGAATAGAGTAGTACCTAACAGTTTTGAGTGTCATGGTAGGCTTAGGGCTTGGTTTGTGCAAAGTTCTGGGATCCAGCCTACTTGACTGGGCTCTTGACCCTAGAGCGACATTTTAGGTCATAAGTTCATGGGTTCTAGCTCTAAGGGTCCATGATAATGCTTAAGTCACAACCTAGGCATAAGATGTGTCATTATGTTCACAAGCCCTAATACAAACATATAGGTCATAATCATGTCAACATTTCATGATCCCATACATAATGTCATAGGTAAGAGTCATGTCTGGTTCAAGTCCCTAACTTATGGTTCTTGACTCTTGTTCCTTAATTCTTAGTTATCTTAAGGTTTAGATTCAATTCCAACGGATTCCTACAAGTAGATCTTGAGAAAAGACCAAAATGGCTACTTGCTCGGTTGTGTTCAGGACCTTGGTTCTCGCAACCCAGATGTCCAAAACTCTCCCATTTTTCTTGTATAGGACCTTAGGGAGTTAATTTTAAGGAACCAAAAACAATTGGGTGAGAAATGGTCTGGAAGAGGGTTAAAAACCACAAAAATCATGGAAAGGTGGTTTGGGTGTAAAGAACCGGCCATGTCATTGTCTTTGAATCTCAAGACTGAGGGAAGATGATGTACTGTGGCTTGATACATTTGAACTTTGCCTCCTGTAGTCTTGTACAATGGTTATCTCTCCTCGGTTCCTTCTACGAATTTGTAGAGGAGATGTCAAGGAAGGCCTAAGAGCTGGTCTCCTGGACTTTGGTGTACTGTAGACGGAGTTATTTGCCGAAGAAAACCCCCTTGAAAACCAACCTTCTTGCTGGAGCTATCCCATGGCTATCCTCTATTCGTTTAGGCACTTCTTGAGCTTATTAGCCCTTGAGTCCTTTCACAAGAACCCTCCTCTTCCCCTTAAGCTGATGGGACAGGCCTCATGTGACGAATTTGTGTGTATCTTTTCAATTTGAGGGTCAAAGGCTATGGTTTTATGTGTCAATAATAGCGATTTAGCTTCTTATTGGGTGGAGCATTCTAGGCGTCCTCAGCCCTCGATCCCTTCATGAAAAGGTTCCCTTTAGATAGCACAAATTAAAAAAGAATTAGTTTAACTCGGACTCCCAGAAATCAAATGGAACATGTCTTATTGGACGAAGTTTTGTGTGAGCTTTGAATTGGATTCCCACCCTTTCCCCGAATGTGGCTTCTAAAAACTTGAATTGGGGGAATGTGATCTAGACGTTTTTCAACCTTTGTGCTCGTAAAGGAAACTTGTTGGAAGTCCTTTTATGAAGCTGAAGAAAGTGGTTTGGGCTCAATTGGTGGGTGCAGCTTCCAAATTTTGATGAAAACTGAGAGCAAGAAATCCAAAAAAGAAATGCATATTTCTTAAGTTTGGATGATCCTTAGCTCTTGTTTCTTGCTCCAAATCCATGCCCAAGGTTCCACATACCTTGAAAGCTCCCGAATTGACCTGAATTTGGAGTGAGTTTTTGGAATTTTCGCCAGAAAAATCCCCTCCATCCCCAGCCCCTTACCGACTTAAATTTCTAATTTCCGCTGTTGGATGTTTAGATGGCAGGGAATGTGATCTAGATGTTTTCAACCTTCATGTTCTAAAGGAAACGTGTTGGAAATCCTTATGAAGCTGAAGGAAGTGGTTTGGGCTCCATTGGTGGGGTGTAGCTCCCAAATTTTGATGAAAACCAAGAGCAAGAAATCCATCCTTGCCCAAGGTTTCCTTATTTATAGCCTAGGCCTCATTTTCTTGAATTGACCTGAAGTTGGAGTTGAGTTTTTGGAGTTGTCGCTTTTCCTAATTTCCACTGTTGCATGTTTAGCTGGCAGGGTTTCATTGGTCATATAAATAATTCAGGCGATGTTGACGGTTGGATTATCAGTCATTGGAAAAACACTCCGATGAGCCAAATCTAAGCATAATTTGTGTAGTAGGGCTGTTTTTGCGAAAATCTTTTGGAGCTATTTTTCAAGGTTCTCTTTTTCAAATTTTTTCTAAAATTCTTTTTCCTTATTTTGGGCACTTTTTCCTTCTTGGGCCGGTTGAGATTCCTTTTCTATAATTAATTAAAAATTGAAGAAGTTTCATAAAAATGAAAAATTACATTCTTGCCCTCCTTTACTATTTCTTTCCAACTTTTTTAGGGCCTTACAAAATCATGTTTGGGTGTTATTAATTTCCTCTTGGTCATTACAACTCCCCTTGTGTGTTACATTATTATAGGATCCTAAAAGATCCAGTCATCGAGGTTTTGGTTTTGTAACTTTTGCTGAAGATGGTGTAGCGGATCGTGTATCTCGAAGATCTCATGAGATTTGTGGACAACAGGTATGCATCTGCCTGTCACTTTGCATCCTAGAAAGAATCATAATTGTCCATTTGAACATGTGCTCGAATGCTTAGATTAGAGTGTTTGTAGACGGTATAATACTTTTTGGGTTTGGATCCCATTCTGTAATTTTTCGTTTTGTTCCTCTATGTAGGCTCTCTCTGTGGTGGGTTGATTCTTGTTTTTAGTGGTTGAAACTAGAAAGTTGTCAGTCTTGCTGTTTCCATACACACTTCAGTCTGGCAGATGTTTTACTTTTCCAAATCTATTTTTATGAGAAAGCAATACTTGATTTGAGGTTCATTCTGCTGTTGGTCTGTCATTTAGGTGGAGTGGTTATAACTTTATAATTACTACAAAAGCTTTAATCATGGATCATGAAAAATTGTTTGTTTGCGTAGTGTTCTAATAACGCCTTTACTTCACGTCAATCAAGAATATAAGCTCACCGTCGCAGTCGGAATCTGCAGGTTGCTATTGATTCAGCCACTCCTCTTGATGATGAAGCTGGAGCTGGAGCAGCTGGAGCAAGTGGAAGTTTTATGATGAACAGCGCCGCAGAATCGTTCGGTGGCTATGCGGGACCTATGAGGACTTATGGAAGGATGTATGGAAGCCTGGATTTCGATGATGTAAGTGGCGCTTCTTCTGTTGTTTTGGTTCCAATTTGAATTATATATTTAGGTTTTTAAAAGTTACTTGGGAACATGATTTGTGTTGTTGTTGTTGTTATGCAGTGGGGTTATGGAATTGGTGGAGGAAGGCCATCTAGAGGAGACTGGAGGTATCGGCCATACTGAAGAATTGGCCTATAATACTATCTATGAGGAAGAAAGATAAATGTATGCTTATTGCATTATTTATTTATGCTTTGTTTTTTGTTTTGTTTTTTTAAAAGAACTGGAAAACCTCTCAATCACGTATGGTTGTTGTTGGGCAGGTTGTGGTTAGAAGTGTTATTAGTCGTTGTATTCTTCTCTAACTCTGCTTTCAAATTAATCAATTTTTGGAATTCTTAGGATGCTTTTTGGATGACTAATTAAATATGTTATTTTCTCATTCTCTCTGTTTCTTCCTTCAATATTCACTTTAATGTTTCTCCACTTTTCAATTTTTTTGACCAGAAATATTTGTAGGAATTGACTAGGACCTTGTACGTATGGACTGTTAGTATGGTTGAAGTACGAAATGAGCATGAAAATAGCTAGCTAAGCCTAAAAATAGCTAGCTAAGCCTAGGATTATGAATTAATGACGGTTTATCTCAGATTGCATGTCTTAGGACTTCTCCTAGGAAGAATTTGACTATGATTGATCTAAAGTCTTTAAGATCTTGGCATAACTTGATTGACCATAAGTCATTTTAAGCGTTAGGTGAATAATTGAGTTATAGTCAATATTTTGACATAATTGTGAAGAATGGTCAATTTTGATGATTTTGAGTTGAATATTCATTAAGAAACACAAAAATTAGTTTTCATCTGGAGCAATTTTTTGGACATTTTCCATCCTGATACTATTGAATACTATTTGATGGCCAAGATACTCTTTTGAATTGGAATTAAATAATGCCGATTATCTAAGAACTTAGTGACGATTTGGGGATGAAATCTGGCCATAGGAATGATGAACAAATTTTGGATTGAAAAACATAAGTTACCTTGTTCGTGCTCCCTTCCTGTTGCCATCTTCGGTGGGTGTCCCCCTATCTCTAAATTGAGCTTCTTAGAATTGTGAGGAAAAGAAAAAGTAGCAAAACCCTACTTAGGTCATTTTAAGTGTTAGGTGAAAATTTGAGTTATGGTTTAACAATTTTTGATATTACTGCGCGACTTGAGTATGTTATGCAATGGAACTCAAAATGTTAGGTTATGTTGTAGTTATGAGATATTCTATGTTATGGAATATCTTGTTGACCTATTATCCCATATGAAATTATGTGTTATACCATGTTAACACACTACATTACAAGATGACGCGAAATGATTAAGTTATGTATAAACGATGGTAACTTACATTACAAACACATGCCATGATTTTAAACTATAGGGATTTCATGCATATTGTGTGATCATGTGCATTATGATACTTTCTTGCTATGATTAGTATGGGTGCATACACTATGGTATTATGATATGATATTTTGCAAACCAAGATACTATACGTGCTCCCTTCCCTCCGCAGTATACCAACAACATGAGTGTATGCTAGTCGAAAGTCAGGTCCAGAGGTACGTATACGAGCTCGCTTGGGGGTTCATGTGTGCGTACTTGGGTTGCGTTAAGAGAAAGTACTACACATCTGATTCTGTCCGGATTGGAAGTAGAGGCCAAGACCATGTTTTGATGTTTTATGAAATGATAGGTCCAAAACATGATTGTATGCGATTACATTTTCAGGGTTGCTCTGCCTTTAGAGGGGTGATAGGTCCCAATGATGAGTCCCAGATTCGTACTATAAACCTGCCTTTAGAGGGGTAAGGGACCACATGGGTAAACTGAGTAGGTGATAGGCACACAAGGTTGCTCTGCCAGATCCTGACTGTATGGTTTTTCCTTGCAAGGCTTGCCGGTTAACCTAACACATATGTATTTAGACGAGATGACATACTTTCCAATGAGATGTGATGAGGCTGCGCCTCAAGCAAGGATACCGAATGTTCACTATTGGAGCTATGTAAGCATGAGAATAGAAAGTTAGTTCACCCCGAGATGAGATTCGTCGTCGAGGAGATTTGCGACGCTAAAACTTGGTGGGTAGTTTCCAAACCCAGATAGGGTCTACGACACATAAGAGAATTGCTCAGAATTTTGAGACCTATTTAGAAGCTCAAATAGCTGTGGAATTAGGCTCGAACTCCTTAGAGCTAAAAAAAAAAAAAAAAAAA